TGCCTGTAATTCATTTGTGGTTGTCTTAACTGGTGTGACTCCTCTCAGGGGTAATTATAAAGCAAACCACACTATTTGAAAATGTTACTTTAGATGAATATAATGCTTTTAATAGAAATATCAGATGATAAAATCTTGAAAAAAAATATTTGTGGTGTGATGTTGCTTCCTTGTTTTGTGTCCACATCCAGAAAAACTTACATTTTCATGAGATGGTGTATTCATTTACCCTTCCTTGCTGGTTTGTGTAGGATATCAGGGTAAACAGCGTGGAGACATCATTTTTCATTAAGTATTCATCATAAACACAGGGAAAAGCATGAAACATGCCACATTCTCTGAGCGGGTCAACTGTGCATTAGTGGTTGCTGGCCATAATCAAGGTCAGATACTCACAGCACCCATCTTGACTTGTGATTTGATTGATTTACTCTGTACTGTACTGTACATGCTTTCCCCATGATAGTTTTCAATTAATATGAAGGTTCTACTTTATAAGAATTCCACTATGTACAGTAATCTCCTCATAGGATCATATATAGAATAACATACAAATTAAAAGATTTATGAAATGTGGTACCTGTCAATAAATATATAAATAAGAATTATCCTTCATTATTAACCTCTGAAACTTTTTTTTTTTATGCGGGGAATAGCTCACTCGGGCACAGGTCATCGGCCCACAATGGAGGGGGGGGGGCAAAAATAGGAGTAAAAATAAATTTAAAATAGAAGAGAAAAAGACTATACAGTACAGTACAGTATTAATATACACCAAAAAGATGCCGGAAAACCAGGGTAAGTAATTTTTGACTCATTCCCGTGACTCAGTGTTACCAATGGAAGCGAACTTTTGTCCCTAACTGTACAGTAGCTAATACGACTATCTGTGCAGGTGGGGGTCAATATGCTCCAAAATTTTACGTGTGACTAGTGACAGCCCTCGTATACCAAAACTTATCGTCCATGGTCTCGTATTGTTTCCCACAAAGTATGCACAGATAGTTGTTTTAGCTACTGTACATTAATTTGAATTTGTCATTTTTGTTCTATACTAAAAGTTTGTTTAGGTGCTCCAGTAGTATTACCAAATCTTCATCAGAAGTGATTATACGCCTTATTTTTTGGTGGTTTTAAAAATTTTATTTCGTTGTTCAGGCAGCATGACCATATTGATGAACGTTCCTGGGAACATAGTGGGCGGTGTGTTGAGCCACAGGGTGGGACCATGGAGATTAGTGCTTCTCTCTCCATTTCTCTTTCTCGCCTTTGCCAGCATGACCACCCCCTCTTGGGAGTTCACCCAGAAGTCTGGCTGGGCCAAGGTCATTCTCTTCACCTGCTGGGTCATACAGGTGAGTCAGCAACAAAGTCTTATAGGCATCATGTGTGAATCATTCCACTGTGTGAGATTGTGAGATGGAGTACCATCGTACAGTACGATATGTTTTCCTTTGTGTGGAGGCGGGAGTTTGTCTGTGGCAGCGCCGGGTTGCCAGTCACTGTCTGACGCTGCAAGAGTAAAGTCTGCAAAGAACCTGGTCTATTATTCAAACCTCTCACACACTGTTAGGAATTTTTTGTTGTCTGAATATTGTTATATGTCTACTTCATCACTGAGAGTACTTTGCTGTATTGTATTGGTTTAGGTTGAATTGTTTTTCTTTTTCTTATCACAAAATATTGTGTCCATGAAATAGTTTAAACCAATAATAGCACATTGATTTAAGTTGACCTAAAAACATAGCTCATGACAAAATTTCACATTGAATAGATTACAGGGTCATACCACAGGGTTTGTAGGACAAGAGAGGTTCCCTCCAAGGATTATCAGTTATGGGTGTCTCGGTCAGATACTGTGCTCTATCTGTCCCGTGACTTCTGGGATTCATTTTATGCTTGGTCATCATCATCACTCACTCCTATTTGGTTTTCAGAAATATTGTGTCTTAAGACTTTATCAGTTTTATGTAAACACTTCATATTTTTCCTCAGTGGAATGTAAACCACCAAAACCATATAAATTTTGCAATCTTTCACTTTACATACATATACTGTACAAGTATACTGTAGTTATTAATTTACTTAATTATCCTCTTGGCCAATCCTCAACTTATTAGCCAGTCTGTTACTCACTGTTGGCAAGTACTGGGCATGTACAGTACCTGCTCTAGAATGTACTGTACCTGGTACCTGTACGTGTGCTAGTGTTGGTAAAGTCTGCTCTTAAATGAACTCACATTTGGTGCTTTCGCAATGTGCAGAAAGGCTGAAAAGGAGTTTCAGAGGTGGATTGTGTGGTAAAGCCAACCCAATGACTTTCTATCATTTCACAAATACGAAATTAAAAATGGTTGTGGACGTATTGGATCTGAGGCCTGATGATGGTAGTTACGCAGATTCAGATCAGAACAAGTGGAGGTATTAAACAAATTCTTTTCTTCAGTATTCACAAGAGAGGATGCAAACAATCTTCCTGCATTAGAGGAAAGACGGTTTGACACAGCGCTGACCCACATTATGTTCTCAGAAGAGGGTATAAGAAATAAATTGTCAAAACTTAAAGGTTCATAAGAGTCCGGGCCCTGACATGGCGACCCCATTTACACAATTTACATGTAAGGTCTTAGACTAATTAAGTAACAGACATAAAAGAAACTTAACACAGTGTATATTGTCGTTTGCTAAAAGAAACGGGCACTGTGACCCCCCAAGCAAAAGGCCTGAGGATTCATCAAGTGTCTCAATAATAATCTGCCACTGTCTGCCAGAGAATATGTGAAGGGGAACATTAACTGTTTTGGGGCATGAGACTACTTATATTTTGGGACCCTTTTCTATAGATTTTTATGAACAATACTGTACATGCACTTTACATAGTACGGTATATTTACACAATTTACACCTTCTATTGCTAGGAATTTTATGACATTCTAATGCTCGATTATGACTACAGTATATCTGTAATCTTGTAGTAATTTAGTTTTTCAATCTGAAACAATTAATTTTTACATAAGTCAAATTAAGTAAAACAAATATAGTACCTAAGCATTTGATTTCATTTAAAAAAATACTGCCCTGCCATATTGTTTTAGCGCTGATTTATAAAGCTAATTGTCTGCTTTGCTTGTGGATATGTACATACAGTTTATCTGTCAATCTCTGTGTAGCTTTGTAATGACTGTGGTGATGACACCTGCATTGCACATGTGCCCATGTCAAGTGGCTGACAGGGATGTCCGAGGAACATTGGGCATCTCTGGGGTTCCTGATGTGTTATGTGTTGGCCCATTACCTGACCTGGTACACACTCACCTGGGTATTGCCAAATTATCATGTCTGCCAATGTTTTACACATTTTAGATCAGCAGGTGTTGGATTAAGCTTATTTCATAGTTCTGTTATAATGGGCACAGTAGGTGTGTTAAGTTTTAGTGTGAGCTCCCTCTTGCTGCACCAGGTCCCAAGAAAGGTAATGTCTTTTGGGCAATTTCTCTTACCAGTTTGGGTACCTTCTTCCTTCAAAATAGAGATGATGTTACTTATTTAAGTTGGTTTCCTTTGGCAGCACTGGTGCCCTATATAATAGCATACTCTGCTGACATAGGACCAGCATCTTGGCTAGACCAGACAGGTCCATTGGAACTAGTTTTGCCATGGCTGGATCTTCAGTGTTAGGACTATATGGGACCTTCTGGGGGTACATAGTGGACTGTGGCATGTATCTATTGCTTGTCCTCTTGTTAGTACCCAACACACAAGGCTGTACACTTGCTGAGATAGAAAAATATTGGGAGAGAAAATGTGGAAGCAATATCAAACTTGAGGAATAACTCTTACTCTCAGTACTGTAATGCAGCTAGTACAGTACGTACAGTATATTGATTTCACATAGTTCTGGTTGTTTAAACTTGAAAATAAACCTTTTTTTATGAAAATTTATTAATCTATAAAAGTTCACAAAATTGTCATAAAAAACAGATTCAAAATATAAGATAGCTAATATATATAAATATATCTTCTTTTAGAACATATGGTAATATATCACAGAACACAGTGACTTAGTCTTACTGAGGCATTATGAATACAGTACAGTATGTATCTAGCTAAGTATAAAAATATAACTGCAAAAAATTACATTTTTGTGTTATTTCCATGATTATAATATTGTTGATACACTTTACTGTAAATGATGTGAAAACTTTTCTTCTCATGATAGACATAAGTATCTCCTAATATTAACTGTTAGCCATAATTAAAATATGTTATTTCACAAAAATTAGTGATATTTTCATATTTTGAAGAACACAAAGGGGTCCTGCACTCTTTAGGGACAGTATTGTACTGTGTCCTATCCCACTTGAAGGTCAGTTCCAGTCCCACAGTGTTCCCATGTTATTATTAGAACTTTCCACAAAATTTTATATTGAAATTGTTGCATAAATCCACCTAATACAGTACATCTTTTGAGTGGGCAAGGAGGGACCTAGTTGAGGTGTATAAGCATCTCAGGGGGCACTACTCAGTCTAGTGTCCTTACTTGGAGCTGGCGGACGCTCGCCCCACAAGGGGTCACAGCTCAAGATTGAAGAAGCCACAAGTCCAGAAAACTGTGAGGGCAAACTTTTTCGGAGTGAGGATTGTAAACTCTTGGAACAATCTACCAGAGAGTGTTGTGACGGCACCGAGTGTGAGCTCTTTCAAGACAAGACTTGACCAACACTGGAGCGGGTTCAGGTACATTCAGGAGCCGGTGCATGCCCAGAATTTGCCAACAGTGCGTAACAGAGACGTGACAGATCGCCCAGGCAGCTAGAGAGCTGATACCCAGAAAAAACGTGTCATGTTTGGTAGTGAGGGTCACACTGGAACACCCTTCTCACATATGTCCCGGTACAGGACTCCATCCCAGGACATAGTAGCGAGTGATTCACACATTACTTACACCCCAATATGTATATGCGTATACAGTTTAAAATATTATTTCAACAATTCTACTACTGTATGACAAATTTATAAAGGTATTCGAGAATTACAACATACGTAAAAAGAATAAACTAAAATGACAGTATTGTACATGTAACCTAAAACATCTTTTCTCTGAAACTCAAGTTTCATAAAAAAGTTAAAAGATTAGATACTGTAATGTGGTTTAATAACTATTTATATGGTTGTACTTCAGGACAATTCCATTATGGCAATCTATAACACTTGGGTGTTTCACTACTATTAAACTTAAAACTACAGATGTTGCTCAGGAATGTTGTTTTCTTTAAGAATTATCTGTCAAGTGGTAGATCAACTTACTAATGGGTCAAGTTGCAAAAGAAGTGAAAGTCTATCAAAGTTGAGGGCCAGCCATCATACTCATAGGGCATATAATCCTTATTTTTAAAGTGGTAATCATCATAGGGTGTATAGTTCTCATACTGAATGGTTCTTTACCACACTTACATGGTACAGTAGTTCCTATACTTGAGGTTTCATTACACTCAGAATTATTCATCAGAGTCCAAGAGAGAGATAGTCACCATCTTCAGAGGATAATCATCATACTCATGTGCTCAAGGTGTCATAAAAAGAGGTTTGAATCATCTCTAAGTCATAATTAAGACATCAAGTTCTCAAACACGAGTAATATACACAATTTACAATAATTAGAACTACATGTTTTTAAAAGTGTCACCTAAACCCCAACAACACAATGAGGCTGGTGAAAAGGAGAACTAGGATCGGCTTAGGAGTCAGCGTGGATGTGTGATTGACATTGAACCTATGGCACTGTGAGGGTTGGAGGGCGCGTGTCTGGTTGGTTGAGTCTACGGCGCTCACACAGACACGGTACCTGCAGGAAGTTACCATTAGTTGGATAAATTTTTTGGGTGGTTATCTCAATCTATTTGGTGGCTGATATATAAAATCAGTTAACAGTTATAACAGTTAATATAGAGATGGTCAGACCACTTACCAGCAGTTAGTGTTCATATACTTCCAGTTAATAAAAGGCACCTATACTGTACATGTATCTAGCTAGCAGATACTGTAGTAGTGTACATAAATTCAACAGCTTTGTGTAACACTAAAATAAGATAAAATTTTCAATGATGAATTACCATTACGTACCACTAATTACAGTCTCCATTAGATACAAGTAAATTAGATTTAACCTAACCTAACTGGGGGTTATAACCTGAGGAAGCTTGAGCTGGTTGATTTATGTTCCTGATGTTGGCAAGTGCAAGTTTGTCCAGTGGAATTTTATCAAAGCAACCTCTTCCCATAATCCTGGTAGTGGATGTAGGAGTAACTTGACTACTTACTTGCCCCGTGGGACATCTGGGAAGAATCCTCGGCGTAATGTGTAGGAGAATGGATGTTGAGTTACCTCCTCGCCAGAGGTGATATTGAATACCATGACCTTGAAACCTCCCACATCCTCCCTTGTCGTCACATACCATAACACGTCCAGCTTGTGCAACTCATCCGGGTTCTCCCCAAAGAAGCGGAACCTAACATCCGGGTTAACCTATTGGGTAGCCAAAGGGGTTATCAATTTCATCAACATGGGTCAAGATTTATTTGGTGATACTCATAAGGGTAAGAGGTAACTGCTATAACAGGTGGTGAAGTGGTCCGAGGTGTGGAGTTTATCTTTCATTGGGGCAGTTTAATACTAAAAGTAACATAGTGGACAGAATATGAGTACAGTACTGTATGGTGGAAATATTGCAATGGGTCACTACTGTGTGTCGAGAAATAAGGTGAATAGAATCTGCAATGAATTATATGTGGGAAAGATTCTTAACATACTGTACGATTCTTAGCATAAGATTCCTAACATAAGATTCTTTGCAAGGATTCTTAACAAAAACAACATCGCTCAAGTAGACAATAAACAAAGTCTTTTTTTTATATTATTTTATTTTATGGACTGATTATTGCTTGAATATCATGAAACAATGGTAAAAGTGGAGCTGTGACCAACTGAATTACTACAACGTTGGTAAACCTGCCAATAATGGGGTGATTTTACAGGATAATGCTTTTTCTAGAACAGTGCTGCTAATTGGGAGTTCCTGACTGATGGAATACCAGATAAGAGAACGTCAACCTGTATATACAGACAACTGTTTAATGTGGAGTTGAATTACTTGCTTTACTCATGAAAATTCCTAATTGAAAATTTGTATACACTTACTTTCTGAACTCAGAAGCTTGCAAACCAGTCAGGTACAGAACTATTATTTGTGTTAATGGGTGGGAAGGGTAGGGGTTGGAAGTACTAGGGTGGTATTTGGGGGTAGGGGAGAGGTGTCTGTTTGTTTTGATATACAGTAGTTGGAGCCAATCATCATTTGTTGTGATGACTTTACCGCCCTTTGGCAGTACAGTATATAAAAAATACTGGTCTGGTATACAAGTCGCCACCAGTCTTGCATTTGGATTACATAACTAAATATTAGGTTACTCCTTCAAAATGATAGATTGAAAACTAGCAGAGCTTCAAGTTCCTCAATAGAAAGTGAGAAGAAGAAAAAGTGGAAGTTCAGTGCTGGAAAAAACATGGTCACCATACAAAACATACAGTATAGTAATTTAGAATAAATCCAGCAATGAATATTGTATTGGTTACACTGACCTGATACAAATCCTGACCACGGCGTTCATCATTGCAACGGAGTTCCTCCTCGAAGATGGCAGAGAGAGGGCGGCCAACCAAGTGAAGTGGGGAATGGCATACTATGTCCCTCCACGGCTCTGATCTCAACCATGTGTCCAACCATGAACGTATACGACGCATCGAACAGTCGCATAATATAGGGTTGTTGGTGTACCTGCAACACAAGTTGATATATGTACTGTACTGGTAACACATACAATTGTTAACACACTTCCTTGTTACAACCCTTGCAGAACAGAGTGGACTAAAATTAAGAGGTTTAGTGTACCAGGTGGTGATTCTGCTATTACCTCTGATATAATTAGATAATGTACCTGGTAATGCTACAGTTGCCTTCAATGGACAGACAGTGACCAGGGAATAGTGATACTGATAGTTCTGACAGAAAAGTAATGTAGTGTGCAGTGACAAGTGATGGTTCCGATAGGTAGTGTATCTAACAGTAATTCTCTTGATGGTTGTATGACATACAGACAAGAAGTGTACTTGGCAGTGGTTCCTTTGACAGGTCTGACACACAGAGGTTGTACAGTATATCTGCAATTGTTTACATGGCTGGCTCTAATACATACATGTGTAGTGTATGGTGCCCAACAGTACTTACAATGGCTCTGGTACACATACAAGTATTGTACTAGTAACTAGATAATACAGTGCTGGTACTGTACTTCCATCTGATATAATAATAAGTACAGTAGTGTGCAGTACCTGACAGTGGTGCCATTGGTGACTCTGGGAACAAACTCCTCGTAGTAATGATGGAGGTTGTTGTCAGACAGGTCGAGGTAGGTGAGGTTCTCGTTGGACATGAGGATGTGGGCGGGGACGGAGATGAGGCTGTTGTTCTGGAGGTGGACCTCCCGTAGGGACCTGCCCCGCCCAAACACACTGTTGCCCAAGGCCTCTAGGTCATTGGAAGAGAGATCCAGAACCTCCAGTTTTGTGAGGTTGCCAATAACGTTGGGTCGTATTTCATTGAGGAAATTGTGAGAGACATTGATGTGTTTAACTTTCTGTAAACCTATGAGTAGGTTTTTGTGAAGAACCGGCATATTGTTGTAACTCATGTCAACCGTCTGCACGTTGTAAGGGATCCACTTGTGGTAAGGGAACATCTTCTTGGACACGGTGCCAAAGAGGTTGTGTGATACGTTGATGTGCCGCACTGACAGAAGGTCATCCATTAACCCATTAGTGTTATTATCAATTTTTTTTAGAAAATTATGAGACAGATCAATGGACTGCATTGACACACAGCCTCTGAAAGCTTCATTAGGAATATGGTGAAGGGCATTGTGTGAAAGGTTGAGGGAGAGCAGCTGTAAAAGTCCTTCAAAAGATTGTTTGCTGATGTTGGTCATTCCATTGTAGGCAAGATTAAGTCTAAACACGACAGGGAGACGACCAAATGCTCCCCTCGTGAGGTTAGTGATTTTATTGTAGTCAAGATTTAAATACTGTAATGTGTGCATTTCACTAAATGCTTGCCATGGAGGTTCTGTTATGGAATTATTATTTAGACTCAGAGTGCGGAGAGAGTTAAGGTTCTGGAAGGTCCCCCCTCCCATAGAGTCACCGAGATTATTGTGGTCCAAGTCCAGATAAAGAAGAGCATTCATCAGAGGCCACGTGTGGCCAGCCCGGATGCTGGATATGTTATTGTGCTGAAAATGGAGGTAGTTGAGGGCCTGAGGGATGAGGAAGATGCTGTTGATGGCATTGTTATTCAGCCATAACTCCCGCAGAGACACCAAGCTAGCAAACATACCTCTAGAGATCATGGTAATCTCGTTGTACGACATGTCAACCCTCAGAAGAGTTGGAAGGGAACCAAAGATGCTGCCTTTAAGTATTTTCAGCTTGTTGTGGCTGAGGTTCATGCGTCTGATGGAGTAGAGGCCAGAGAACACACTTCTGTCAATAGTGGTGATCTGGTTGTGACTTGCATCAATTGTGTGCAGTGCATAGAGCTCTGGGAAGGTCCTCCTGGGAATTATTTCAATTCGATTGTATGATACATTTAGGATTTTAATCCCAGAGAACTTCAAAGTAATATGGGAAAGATCAGATATATTGTTATATTCCAACTTTAGTTCAGTCATGTAACTTGACAGTCCTGAGAAAGCATCCTCTTGCATCAAGGAAATGTTGTTGTAAGAGAGATCAAGCACGGTGATGTTGTTAGTGTTGACGAAAGATTCGTCCTCAAACGTTGTGATCTGGTTGTGGCTGATGTTGATTGACACCAAGTGGAGATCAACAAAAGCATTTTTTTTTATCGTTGTTATTTGATTTTCTGCTAAATCAATTATTTCACAATGTTGGAGATCTTCAAACACCTTGGTGTCCACACTGTTGAGCTTGTTGCGTGATAGGTCAATGGTTCCTATACGTGATGCGCCATTAAAGGCACTGCGACCCACCTGAAGGTGCAAGAAACAGTCAAACTCAACTAATGTATTTATAAAATTAATTGTGGATCTTTAAAAAAAAATTATATTTAATTTTTTCTTACAAACACATGCATTAGCCCCTGTCTTATCGGCAGAAGTATTTATATAAATGGGTTAATTACATTAGATTTATATACTCTATCACCCCCTCCCCCTATAACTTTCCACTAGCTATGAGGTAGCATGTTCAGAGCACATGATAAGGTGTGCCCACGGGAAGTCGCGTCACTTGGTGCTGGGTTAAGCATTAAGTAGCCGGCTCTCTGGCCACCTATTGCGGGCAGTAGTTTGATAACCCTGACTAGAGGAAGACGTTATTGAGAGCCATCGTGGATGGTTCCATCTTCCCTTGAGGGAGGACGTCGGATATATTTCGTTCTTCACTCGATGGGCCCCTACTCACCTCACTCAACTATCTCATCAACAGGATGTACTTAGCAGAGGTATTTAACATGGTCTCCACCCTAATTTAACAATCATAGCTGCAGTGGTTAAATTACAGTGATAATCCTTTTTGAAGGTGTACATAGAAACCTTTTATAATAAATACAAACAAAGGAACATATTGGATTTCACTGCAGAAGATTCAATGACCTTTTACATGTTCTATTAAATAATTGTAGAATCAATGATTAAAGGGACAATTCACACACACTGTCAATTAAATACAAATATACTGTATACACAAATACATCAAGCAAAATGAAACTGTGCATTTTTGTGTCCTTTTTACTACAGTACCTGCATTGTACTGATAAAACATTTTTGATTTGGTAATTAATTATTTTTGTTATTCTTTTTCTACTATTAAGTTTGAAAAACAAAATATTCACAATGTCCAACATGACACTACCGTATCAAGAAATTTATTTTCAAATAAATGATGATATTGTGAAGCGCCTCAAATGATATTACTCGTCAAATGTACAGATAGGCATAAATGGACAGCTGCCCCACTAAATGGTCACAACCTCAAGTTAAGGAAGCTATCAATACTGAAAACTATCAGAACAACTTTCTTTTAAGTTTGATGTGTAAACTCTTGCAATAACCTGCCAGAGAATGTTGTGACAGCATCAAGTGTTAGCTTCATCAAGTCCAGATTTGACCAACACTGATTCTTGTTGGCATTTAAAGTTTAAATTTTCACACACCAAGGACTTGCTGACAAAACTTAACCTTCCCAGACATGGGTCAGGGATATGTGTCAGGGGTATGGATCAGGAACTTGGGTCAGGTATTGTGTGAAGGATGTGACCACGGGTGGGGGACTATTTAACTTACAGTGTCGATGAGGTTGTCACTGAGGTACAGGCGGCGAAGGAACCTCAGAGACCTAAAGGTGTGAGCCTCAACCCTTTTGATGAGGTTGTGGGAGATGCTGAGCCACCCCAGTACAGAGTTTCGGGCAAAGGTGTTCCTGCCGAAGTCTTTGATTTGGTTGTGAGACATGTTGCACCACGTCATCTGATTAAGATCCTGTGGGAACAAATTCATGTTAACTACTATTTAAATTCCTTCTGCAGAATACCTTATTTTGACATTATATTCTATGTAATGTTTATCTTATACAGTATATTAACATTAACAGTTTGGTATAATGGTTTAATGTTTTTCTCAAAATGTGTTCTATTGCATATCATATACTGTGTGGTAGTTTAACATTGTATGGTACAGTCTCGTTCAAAATTCTTCGAGCACTGCTGGAGACAGCTGGCAACTCAAGGCCGTTTGTTTACTATAGTACGTAGTATAATATAATACGAAACAACAAAGCCCAACCATTAAATTAAGTAATGGGGAACTAAGTATCCAATCACTGATCACTTTTACATTTATTCATAATTTTTACTACATACTATAGTAAACAAACGGCCTTGAGTTTCCAGCTGTCTCCAGCAGTGTTCAAAGAATCTTGAACGAGACTGTACATTATTTTAACATCAGCCTATACAAATGTTCTGTCTTCTCATGGTTCAACATAATATTCTAATAGTACCTTATAAAACTTCATACACAATGTTCTAAATAGTGCCATGTTCTCTCCACCCCAAACACTTAACAGTGCCACTCCCTTCCCCAACACTTACCAATTCTAGTACCACCCTTCCTCATGTCCATCACTAACCTGAAAGTACTTGGAATCTAGCTTGGAAAACTTATTGTAGGACAAGTCGAGGGCTCTCACGTTCCTCTTGTTTTTGAAGACACCGTTGGGGATGTTGGTCAGCTTATTGTAGCTTAGGTCTATTTTCTTCATTTTCGGTAAACCCTGTTGGAACCATCAAGTTTATTAACAAATATTAATAAAAGTATAGCTTTAGATGTAACCACTGAGTACCACACCCCCACCCACCTTGCATGCATTCCCTTACTTTTACTGTAACTATTACATAAAATATTGTAATGTAACTTAATACAATTACTCAATAGCACACTACAGTAATTTTATTTAGTCTTATTAATTATCCTGTATCATGTTATTTACTGTACTAAAGTTAGTTGATTGTTTCAAATATAACTTTGAAAGACAAACTGTAGTGTCGGTGATTATGTTATTCAGGCACTAGAAACTAAAACATGTATACTTGTAGGGGTATCGATATATTTATGTCGTCTAGCACTCAGGATGGAAGGAAACTCTAATGTGGTTTTCTTGTATAATATATAAGTTATATGAAGACAGTCTGGTGTTGGAGATGCCGTGTGGTGGGGAGCTGCTCAGTAGAAGACGTTCGGTGAGTAGCGTGTTGAAGGAGGTAGATGTGCAGGAGCTTCGTTAGAGAAGATGTTGCCTGTTGCTGGCCTCCTGGTTGAATAAATGTTAACAGCTAGGAGCTTGCTGGTGGAGGTGTTGCTTGTTCAGGAAAATGGGCAGAATGAGAGTTGGTTGGTGAGGAAGCTCAGAGAAGGACATGCTCGCTGGCGGGAGCGAGGACCGCCAGGCAGGCGAGGAGATGCGAGGGCTGCCAGGCAGCAGCGGAGGAGGAGGTGTTGCTTGTTCAGGAAGAATGGTCAGAATGAATCTCAATGGACAGACAGAGCTTATATACCCAGCAGCAGCCGCTATGAGTCATGTTGGGAAAACCCAGAAAGTCGCCGGTGACTGGTTCCGTTGCTAAGATACGGTAACATCTGGTTGGTTGCTAGGGAAGGCGGCACATTGGAATGCGATAAGCAGGTTGTAGGGGAGACGTCCACTACATACTCTTTAGGTTATCTTTCACTCATCATATTTAATCCTTACTTTCTTCAGTGATTATATAAAACCTTCAAAAGAATAGACACAATTTCTTTCCATATCTCTTAGACAGTTACATTATGTGGATGTATTTTTGTCATGTCATGTATGGGGTCCCCTCTGCCGCTATCACCACTGCTGTCAAACCACCACTACTGCTACCACCACTGTTGTTACCCTTACTACTCCCACCACCACTGCTGTCAAACCACCACTACTGCTACCACCACTGTTGTTACCCTTACTACTCCCACCACCACTGCTGTCAAACCACCACTACTGCTACCACCACTGTTGTTACCCTTACTACTCCCACCACCACTGCTGTCAAACCGCCACTACTGCTACCACCACTGTTGTTACTACTACTACCACCTGCTACTCCCACCACCACTGCTACCGCCACCACTGTTGTTACCCCTACTACTACTCCCACCACCACCACTGTCATCCACCACTACTGCTACCACCACTGTTGTTACCCTTACTACTCCCACCACCACTGCTGTCAAACCACCACTACTGCTACCACCACTGTTGTTACCCTTACTACTCCCACCACCACTGCTGTCAAACCACCACTACTGCTACCACCACTGTTGTTACCCTTACTACTCCCACCACCACTATTGTCACCACTACTACAGCTACCACCACTGTTGTTACCCCTACTACTGCCACCACCACAACTAATGTCACCATTACTACTACCACCACCACTAGTATGACTACTTTTACTGCTGCCACCACTATTGTTACCACTATTATTGTCATCACCACCACTACTACTACTACTACCATCAACCACCACAATCATTCATCTTATCTTACCTGGAAGGCTTTTTGGTTGATATTCTTGATGCCACAGTTGGTGAGGTGAACGACCTCCAGTTTACTTAAGGGTGTGAGCACTGATCCCCTCACTCGCGTCAGGTTGGCCCCATTTATCTCCAACACCTGTAAGAGACAGACATCAACACCTGTAAGAGAGACAGACATCAACACCTGTAAGAGAGACAGACATCAACACCTGTAAGAGAGACAGACATCAACACCTGTAAGAGAGACAGACATCAACACGTGTAAGAGAGACAGACATCAACACCTGTAAGAGAGGCAGACAAGTATGAAATACTAATACTGTAATGTGATCATATATCCAACATCAGCCACACGTTATAAAAAAGCCCAGAGATGGAAATTAAAGTGTTGTTTATCTGTTAAGACTTATATAAGTAAATAATGGAGTGGATTTGTATTTCTATGTTTATTCAGCAAGTGTCACAAAAAGTTGAGGGGTAGCGCTGCATCCCCCCTCTACTTTAAATCCCTCTTTGAATCTACCTTAACTCTAGTTGATTATACTGTATTTTAAATCTCCAACTGAATCTACCTTAAATCCCCACTGAAACTACCTTAACTTCCCCGTTGAATCTACCTTAAATCTATCGTTGATTCTACCCAAAATCTACCGTTGAATCTAACTTAAATCCCCGTTGAATAAACCTTGAGTCACCGTTGAATCTATCTAAAATCCCCATTGAATTTACCTTAAATCCTAAGCTGAATTTCACGCAAATATTTGTTATTCTTACTAGATATGGACTGAGGCATGAGAAAAAAGGAAACCACTGAAGATATCACTATTATTATTACTATTATTTTACCATTATTATCATTAACATAGTGTATTAGTTTTGATCATTGTCATAATTTGGGTTTTTATATTATTCCCAAGTCAGTCGTCGGCGAGCCATGGAAGGAAGAGGGTATAGCGCGAGGGTGCCCTGAATCGTATTACCATGCTATATCATGCCCTAATTCCGAGAAAGAAACAAAAAACATTTCCCCAATACAAGCAAAAATTATGGCGGAATAGTGATGTGGTGTTGCCGAAATCGTAGACGGACTTCGGAGTAAAGAGTAACAGGGACGTTACTTGTTAGTATTGACGAAAACAGGTGTTCAGTTCCACAACCTACCTTCAGGTTCTTCAGAGGACGGAGGGCTGCTTCAGGGAGATCCTGGAGGGGCGCGCGGATAAAATGTAGACCTGTAAGGATGTCCGCCACAGGCTCGAACACGTCACCGTTCACCTCGGAGACTGGTGTGTCCTCCAGCACCACCTTGTGCAGTAGGAGAGACCTGAACACATCACCGTACAGCTTCTTGAAGTTACACTTGTACAAGTGGAGTTCTTCGATGGGGAGTCTCACGTTGGCGAGGCCTACAGCTACGGAGGCAAGGTTAGTGTTTTCACACCGAAGGAAGATACCATTTTCACCTCCTCTAGTACAGAAACACGGGAAGAAGTATTTGGCACTCGTGGGACATTTAAATTTAGTTTCTTCTTCGGCTGTGACGACATAGAAGAGCCCGATCACCACCAACAAAGTCCAAGTCACCGACCTTGACATATTGCTGCACTTCTAAGTATTCCCTGAACAACTCACCAAAGAAATAACATTTTAACTTTGTGTTGCACTTGAGTACTTTGTAAGTATATAAGAAATATGATTACTATAGTCAGGTAATACACCCGTGAGATAAATGTACCCTTAAGACTGACGCTATACCGAACTTGTGTACGCCCTTAGATCAACTGCGCGGAGCTGCGGACTTGGAGTTGGGGTGGCCTGGGGTGCAGGTGAAAGTGAAGAAGAAGATGCCATGTTGCCTATTAACAGCTAAGACAATTTCCATTATATTTTTACTATATTGCTTTCACTTCTCGGGTGCTTCTTGCTTCACATAAAAATAATTAAGTGCTGTCAGTATGTTATATTTTCGTGAGTGATCAAGAAAGCATATTTAAATGATCAGTATTATCCGGAGAAATCAGATTTGCTGACATTTTAAGAATCTTTGGGATACCAATTGTCAGTAATGTACACCTAGTTTCTCTTCGCTCTAATCTTCACGAGAAATGCAGTAATCTATTGACCTAAATAACTAAGTATTCTCTTTACGTACAATACAGTACTCCCAGCAACAGTGTCCCCCACGAAAGACTTAATAAGAAAAGTGGAGGCTCATGGTATTAATGGACAGGACAGGACAGGGCAGGAAACAGCGAGTGAGCATTAACGGCACTTAAATCCGATTGGGGAAACGTCACTAGTGAAGTTCCCCAAGGTTCAGCACTTGGACCATTATTATTTATTATATACATAAGCGACATAGATATCGGCGTAGACAGCAACATAAGTAAATTTGCTGATGACACTAAAATAGGGCGTGTCATTAAATCTGGCGAGGACTCAGCAAAACTACAGAAAGCTCTAAACAAATCTTTCGAATGGTCTGAAAAATGGCAGATGAAATTCAATGTTGACAAATGTATAGTACTCAGTATAGGAGATGTAAACAGGGAAACCAGATACCAGATGAACAACGATGTTATTGAGAAATCCGACTGCGAGAAAGATTTAGGAGTAATGATAAGTAGGAATCTTAAGCCAAGTAAACAATGTGTATTTACTCGAAATAAGCCTAATAAAGTACTTGGGTTCATACAAAGGAGTGTTAGTTGCAAGACTAGCGAGGTCATCCTAAAACTATATCTTGCGCTGGTGAGACCTCATTTGGATTACGCAGTTCAATTCTGGTCACCGTATTACAGAATGGATATAGAATCCTTGGAAAGAATTCAGAGGAGAATGACATGGCTAATCCCGGGCATTAGGAACCTTGAGAACAGAGACAGGTTAAAGCATCTCAATTTGCACTCCCTCGAGAGACGTAGAGTGAGGGGCGATATGATATAGGTGTATAAATGGAAGTCAGGGCTGAGCAAAGGGGACATTACAAAGGTACTCAAACTATCCAACCAGGAGCGAACTCGTAATAATGGTTTTAAATTAGACAAATTTAGATTTAGGCGCGAAATAGGTAAACATTGGTTTGGAAATAGAGAAGTAGACGAGTGGAACAAGTTACCAAATATCATCATTAACTCGAATACGCTGGATAGCTTCAAACATAGGTTGGATGGATATATGAGCAATAGGGGTTGGGTGTAAATGGGACTGCCCAGTATGGGCCAATAGACCCGCTGCAGTTTCCTCCATTCTTATGTTCTTATTATGGAAATATTCTAATGAACAAAAGTAAAAGACAAACAAACAAAGCATTACATCAAATGTGCAATGAACAGTTATTACAAGGAGAAGCTTGAGGCGTCTTGTTTGAATCATCTACTGGAACAGAAGTTAGGGGAGAAACATCCGTATGTCTCCAGTGGGCTCTCTTGATTCAAGAACACACACACATACAAAAAGAATACTGTAACCTTATATATACAGTATACTCATAATATATCCTGCATTTTTCATATGTAAACTTCTTTGACGTAGTCAATGAATAATATATTCAGGAGTGCAGTGAATATTTATGTATGCTTATATATAACATTACCTACTTGAAAGGTTATCGGAGCTCACGTTGGTAACTTCAACACGGCCGTGCCTAGTTAGTGATCCACAGACTCACAAATGGCGGCGATTACAGTATTACTAATGAAGCCGTATTTCACTTATAACGTTATGCAATGGTAATAAGTGTACTAACAAATATATTGTTGTGTGCATTAGTTTATTAGTGTATGGTGATTAATTTCCATCGACTCATTTTGGTTCAAGTTTACACCAGCCGAGGCGCCTCCATGATCCAGCTATTCCCCAACATTATCAGCCTAAACTTGTTTATATGTATCCCGCATCACAGATACCAGCAGGTAACTGTGGCTCAAGGACATATTAAGACTTCACCCAGCATCCTGTTTTTCCCCTCCCCACCTCCACCCGAGTCCCGTGCCCCACCCGTCCCTACCCCCAACTTCCCAGCCCACCCACTCCTTCCCCCAACTCCTCGGCCCACACTTCCCTCCTCCCCAACCCCTAGCCTATGTTCCTTCACGTCCTCCTGGGTTTCTCCACATCCTATCTCTCTCTCTCTCTCTCTCTCGCTTATTATGGGTTTAGTTCCTCCTCTGTTCAGATACACAAAGGCCACAGTTTGTTTGTATGTCAAAAGTGGTAACGACAGATTACCTGAAGAATTTCCACCCCAGCTTATTTCACCTAAAGATTAACCATCCTAATACAATGATGTAACAGAAACAAGTTAATGATGAGTTGATGAAATAACTGAGATATAATCTAATGGTATATAGAGGTCATATAGTTAATGATACATAAACCAGATAAGAGACAGAAACCAGGCAATGATACACAGAGAATTAAATGTTTAAGAACAGTTAATCAAGGGCTCAAAATTTCTGGCACGGATACAAAGAAATCTGGTTATAGTTCAACGTATAATGATGTTTGACCTTTGATAATATATATATATATATATATATATATATATATATATATATATATATATATATATATATATATATATATATATATATATATATATATATATATATATATATATATATATATATATATATATATATATATATATATATATATATATATATATAGGCCTATATAAAACGATTACACGGAATAATTATCTATCTGCTGTGACTTATCGTGTTGTCAGTCAGTAAGTGACCTTCAAGAGTGGTCGACCTCGGTTTTTGTACTTAAGCGACTCATTAAATAGCTTCGGTTCCTGACTGTACACCGGATAAACTGTTTCGCAATACCGAGAACCGTAACTTTATTTATCCTATATTCTACTTTCCGAGATAGTTCACCTCGGTTCTGTGCTTCGTATACCTTATTCAGTATACCGTGCCTCAACTACTGCACAGTGTTTGTTCCCTGTTAATTTGTTATTTCACCACTTATCAGCCGTTCTTTTGTTACTTTGTTACGATATTTTGTGTCCAGAGTTATTACAAGAGGAAACAGGAAATACCCGGAGGAAATCTACGATGTTTGGTCGTGAGGGTCACTGGCTAACATCCTTCTCAACTGTGTTTCGAGCCAGGACTTGATCCCATGACACGGGTCCAAGGTCGAAAGATATAAGAGGTCAGCTCATTTTTAAAAGGAAAGAGTCCAGCCACGCGCATGACTTCACCAGACGGTGACTTGCTCTGGTCAAAATCAAGGTCGCACATGTAATCCATTGTTTGGTGGGTCATTGCTCTGACCAGGTCACCCCCCCCCCTAATATTTGCATTTGTAATACTTGGCTCCTTCCTCCTCGTCCACTATCTTCCGGATCTTCATCCTCTCGTGTAAAATTAATCTTTACAAATAGGCTAACATTCTACCTCCATTGAGTACTGTTATTTTATATACATAATTAATGCGTATACATAAATTTTCTGTTTTCAGGCAAATAAAATGTGAGTGTGCGTGATTACAGTGCTTTATATGCCTAAAAATGGATATAATGCAGAATTACATCACTTGTGAAATAGGTCTTGAACCTAACACAACCAAACCAAATCTTAACTTATCCTGGTCTAATCTAAAATAAATCTAACTTAATATATTGTGACCAAACCTATCTTATCCTAATCCAATCTAACCAAACTTAATCTAATCTAACCTAACCTAATCAAACATAATCTAACCTAATCTTACCTACCTTACCTAACATATCCTGATCTAACATAACCTAATCAATATATACTAGGGTTTCTAATAATCCTAAAATCCATATATTCTCATAATTTTTTGCTAATAAATTGCAACGTAAAATTCATTTTGCCAAAATTTAATACAGTTTCATGTTGTAGAACTATTGTTATTGAAATTCCTATAGCTAAGGTTAATTTCTTTAATATAAGTCTATCCTGAATTAACTAAACGATAATTATTCTATGCATAGTTAATAATAATAATAATAATATTTATTATTATTATTATAATAACTATTATTGGCACTAACCGAATCTCGACAATTTTGTCTTATCAATCAATAGTTCACACAATTCTAAGACACATTTCTTTTACTTGTATCCTCTTCACCACTTATGGCTCTTGGTTGACGTGTTCCTCGCAATGACGTTGACTGTATTATTATTATTATTATTGTTATTGTTTTTATTGGCATTTAATTAAAGTGATACACGGTTTGTCTCTTTAATACTACGGTAACACCTTTAACTCATTCAGTCATTTACTTCTCACATTTAAACTCATTCATGAAATTGTTTATTACGTCCATTTTCTATGTTAGAATAAAAGAAAGCGAAACTCTTTTAAGGGTAACTTCTTTACCTTTTTATTACTTTTGTGTACTCTAATTTATTTTAATTTCGCCACTGATGGGCTTGTTAGCAGCTTAGGAGGTAGTTCACGTCTCTGTTAGCCACTTTTAGCACTGTGGGCATGCAATGGCTCTCTTTCATGCATTGTTGGCACTGTGGGCATCAGGACATGTACTGGCACTCTGTTACCCACTCTTGGTAACTTCATTCGTCCACTATGCTAATCTTCAGGTGATACAACATACGAAAACAAAATGTCAACTTTGTTTGAAAGAAAGAGAATGAATACATTAGAACACTAAACGTAAAATTAGTTAGCGTACTAAGTGATTTTCCTTATCTTATATCGAGAGCCATGAGATTCCTTATCATTATGTCAATTTAACGTCGTTTATAAGATATAGCGTTTATAGAATATCAGTGATCAATGACAACCGATGGCACTTATTTAGCTAACTTCAGAAGAAATAAATAATCTATCTATGTTAATAATTACTCTCGAATCTTTTCTGGTCATATATTGTAACAAGTATCCCCAGGTAATTGGCTCATTATAGTCCTCAAGGTGTGACCATCACCATGTGTGGCTGAAGGTGTGACCATCACCATGTGTGGCTCAAGGTGTGACCATCACCATGTGTGGCTGAAGGTGTGACCATCACCATGTGTGGCTGAAGGTGTGACCATCACCATGTGTGGCTGAAGGTGTGACCATCACCATGTGTGGCTAAGGTGTGACCATCACCATGTGTGGCTCAAGGTGTGACCATCACCATGTGTGGCTGAAGGTGTGACCATCACCATGTGTGGCTGAAGGTGTGACCATCACCAGGTGTGACCATCACCATGTGTGGCTGAAGGTGTGACCATCACCATGTGTGGCTCAAGGTGTGACCATCACCATGTGTGGCTAAGGTGTGACCATCACCATGTGTGGCTCAAGGTGTGACCATCACCATGTGTGGCTAAGGTGTCACACTCTGCCGATAACCCGTCTGCCATAAACATTTTCTGAGAATACAACGAGTACAGTAAAATAATTCTTTGAGCTTACTTAAAATATAATTTTTATTTTATATGATTTTTTATGGTGTATTAAATTTGTATATTATATTGAGAATAGTCATAAACGAAAAGATAGAAGTGTTTTAGAAAGCCAAGTACTTATCATCAGTTGTAATCATCTGTGACGCTTGTTTACATTTGAGGAGTTTAACGTGATATACCTGGTGAAGAAGGTGAGTGAGTGAGGTACAGTGTGTGGTGAGTAAGGTTATAGTGCCTTGTGCTGTGGGTCAGTACAACAGCACAAGACTTAGTTTATAAATGTTTCGAGCAAGACCATGAAGCTGTTATGTACGCCATATTAACTTGACGGCCTCGAACCACCCAACTTTTTCACCAATAAAATGAATATCAATCAAATTTATCGCTTGAAAACAAAGTCTATGGTAACAATAACGTTTTGAAGATGTTGCATTTATATCATAAGGTAACTCTTGGGGGTAATATTGCATGGTAAAATAGATATGGTAAGGGTGAATCTTTTCGAAAAATGGTTCATGGGTAAAGTCTCACTAACATGATGCTTGAAGATTCGATCCTTTTGAATATTATTGAGTTGTGAACACGCACACATGTGGGAAATATGAGGTAGGTATTCACTTTAGCTATTCAGTCTTAAATCATCTACTCGCCAATTATAAATATGTCATGGAAATATGGAGAAAAAAATAGTTAAAAGGCTTAGTTGGTGGAGGAGAACAACAGGAGGGAACTTAGTTAAATCAAGTGGAATATTCTCTTATTATGTGCATTGGATGTTAACTGATCCTGTATGTGTTGACTTATGGTTTATTTCTTAATGTGTACAGTGTGAACCACTCGAACCTTACCCCCAAAAAGTAGATTCAGGTAGTTAGCTTAGGTTAAGTGGTCCATAGGTTATAATCTTAACTTCGGTTAAGTGGTCCATATGTTATAGCTTAGGTTAAGTGGTCATATAGACGGAAAAGTAGTTTATGGGTATAATTCAGCATTTTTTTTGTTATTAAGAATAGTAGCCTGGATCAACCAGCCATCTAAAGAAGCTGTAGAAAAAAATAAGCATTTCTGGACTCATAAATAAAACAAATTTGATGTTTCATACACAGTGTTATTGAGAAAAGTAATAACAACAATAATAATGCTAAAATTGTAGTAACATTAATAATAATAATAATATTAAAAACATAATAATAAAATCAATAATAATAATAATAATAATAATACGCTGGATCCAGGTATGTCACCCATATTGACGGACTATGTGGTTAATGGTACGGCAGAGAATCACGCATGCACAAAATGCAGGGCTGTTAGGTTAGGTTAGCATTAGGCTGCCGTACCAATAGACATTGACATTTCGCATTTGGTCATTGTACCTATGTCTTGCCCGTAAATAATATCCCACAAAAGAAAGACGATACTTTTTAATAATAATAGGTAGGATTTGCATTTTTCCTAATAAAGTAATAGTACAATTATGTATTAAATTGACAATACTGTACAATTGAACCAACAAAACTTAGCTACCTAACTTAGGATGGAAGTTATTTATTATTATTATTATTATTATTATTATTATTATTATTATTATTATTAATCAAGGTTACTATTACAGTATATTTTTGTAGGCAAGTGACAGAGAGACAAAGTTTGTTAGGTTGTCGGCATGTATTGCGTTGTCCATTAGTCACACTCAGCATGGCATCAAAGTGTATGGTGGGTGTCTACTTTCTTTAATGTACCTGAAGAAGAGTGTGCTTGTATGATCAATATCATTACTGTAGTTTATTTTTGGAGAATCAGTTTGACATAATTCATTCAATAATGATTCACCTGTACCATAGATTTAGTAAAGTACTGTAATTGATTAAGTTTTGTGCATTTTTACAGGCACTTACAATGCAAAAGAAGCGATCTGCAGTGTGGAGGCATTTTGAGGAGGAAGGGGACAATAAGGTGTCCTGCAGGACATGTCACAAGCAGCTGACTAAACATGGGAACACTTCAATGATGCTCCGACACCTTCGGGGGAAGCATCCAGAGCTGATGCATTGTCTCCTTGGTGCTGAGGGGGCCTCTGTGGCAGATGGGGTCCCATGGCAGATGGAGGAGCAGCAAGTAGAGGAAGTGGTGGAGTCTGTTCCTCCACTAGATAGCTCAGGTAACTACCACCATATATGTACAGCTCTTAGTCATGCTGTACTCTTGGTCTTTGTTTAGGTTTGACTAAAGTTTATTAAATTTTTCACCAACTTTTATCTCACCGAGTGTAAACGTTCACCAGTTTGATGATGCATTACATCCTTCATCATAGTTCATTTGTGACCAAATATTGATGACTGTCCTGGGTTATTATTTTTGGGATCATGGGAAGATGAGAGGGTGCAGCTGTGGCTCCTAAAACACTCTGCCTTAGTTAAGAACACAACCTATCATGCCCTTGATCATGGACCTTGTGACTCAGTGACAAATATATTTCCCTGTTATGAATGGGTCTGAAATTGTCTTTTCAGAAAATATTGTACAACATCCAAACTGAGGCATGTATGACAGATCTTTAAAGTGAAACACTATCAGGGTAATGGTAACACTTGTACTTTCAGTCATAAAACAGGTATAAATACTGTAATAATCTAGTGCACATGAAACGATTTTTTCCGTAAAAATTGTTTTTTTTTACCACCATTTTCTTGTAACAGTGAAGCAGGCTAATGGACATCATCTGTATCGATCTGTAATGCTTCCAATCTTTGATTGAATTAAATTTCATATTGTTATTACTGTTTGTGGAAACATTGACTTTTGTTTGATGTGACATTGTTCTGCCTTCAGTAAAGAAGAAAAGATCAACAGTGTGGAAGCATTTCCAGGAGGAAGGCACTGACAAAGTGAGCTGCAGAATATGCAACGAGAAATTGGCCAAGCATGGGAACACTTCGTCAATGCTGCGTCATCTCCGTGGCAAACATCCCCAGCTCAAGTTGGGAGAGCTTCAGGGAGACAGGTAATAAGCATCAATATCTGTTAATGTTGCAAATATAGTAGAAGCTTGTAAGCTTGCAGGGCTAGGTTCCTGTTTACTACTGCACACTTAATTTACATGGACCTCTTGGGGAAAATGGGGTTTGGTTCTCATAGTCCTTATAAACTACACTTATCAATGCACAGTATGTGGTGCAAAACTTTTTGAGGAACACTTACTTACATAATATCAAGGTAGACAATACTGTAATAGAAGATAATAAAATATTAATACTGTATGTAAATAAAGAATATCACGGTTGGATGTCGTAAGTCGTGGCACATCACGGTTGGATGTTTTTAGTGGCTGGTTTCATAATTATGTCCATCTTACAAAGAAAGGTTTATTGGTGGCAACTTAAGTTAGCAGTTACTTTCCAGACATATTCAGACTGTGTGGTCTTGGAGAGCTTAAGGTTTATTCCTAAACGGTGTGAGGCAGGTGTCTATAGGGCTCCTGTTGGGGGTTACATACCACACATAATGCCTCCTGCCTCCATTTTCTAGCTGGCTGTAGTGTACATGAATCACCCAATGTTTGTATCAAGTTGTAAATCAAGGATAAATTCTGAAATCTACTTAACTAAGCAAGTAGTAATATCACTGTTAGCCAGAATCCCTCAAACGGAATTGAAATTTTCTCGGAAAATCGTTCCCAAAGCCATAATTTTCCGGAAAATACCGTTTGGGAATGATTTTCCGAGGGGTTCATTTTCCGAAAAATTCATTTTTTTTTACGATACCCAGAAAATTCTAAGAAAATTTTCTCGATACCTGGAAATTCTGGAAAATTCCAGGGATAAGGGATTTTTTTTCCAGCTTTGAGAGAGTTGTCTTGTCACCCGGAAATCTCTCATTCCCGTAAGTGCTCTGCACCAATTGTTCCAGCTAACGGAGATTTCACCAGGAAACTCAGATTACTTCTGTCCTTCCTTTTGAGGTGTTTACCCTATCTGTCTGGTCCTATAACTGAGGTCATGGAGTGCATGTGTTTTAGTGTGTTTGCGAAGACTCCCATCCCTTTTCCTTGGGCCTCTTTCACTTGAGATTTTTTTGTCGTGTGACTGAGATATCAATGGAATTCAACAGACGTGTGTGTGAAAGGACCATTGAACTCCATTAATTTCAAATTTGCAAAAAAAAACTTGAATGAGAAGAGTCCTGAGTGGGATTTGCCATACCAAACATCAGCATTTGAGAAATTCAATATGGTTGGGAAGGATAAACTCCTTTTCAATTTATTTTTTAAAATTTAGTCGTAGTCAATAATTTGGGTATGGCCCTGTCGCTTCACCCCTGGGACTTGTTTTTCTTTCCATGTGTTTGTTACCTGATCCAACCTAACCTAATCTAATCTAACTTACCTGATCTTTGCTCATTTATAAAATTAAATTTCAGGATCAATCTTGGTGTTAAAACTCTTCTTTTTTCTTAAGAGTTGGACTAGTGAGTGATTGCAAATTTAGTTTTCAGTTTATAATACAATACAGTACGTCATAATAACCTGTGGAATAATTATAATTACATGTTTCCGTGCACAGAATTCAATCTTTATTTCTTTCAGTGCCAGGAAGATGAATCGTTTACATCTGAGGGCAACCAACACTGAAACACGATTCTTGGCCGTGTGTGAGCGCTTGTTGCGTCATAATCAACTGACTGACTGTACTCTCATGGCTGATGGTCAGTTCATTCAAGCTCATCGACTGGTCTTGGCTACATGCAGGTATGGTGCTGATAATTTCAGAAACTACTTGTATATTGTACATAGATAATTTATGTGAAGATTTATGATAAGTTTATGGTGAGTCACCTTTCACTTGGCAGCTTGAGTACTATAATGCACACACTAAGCTGTCAATCTAGACCCTGGAGATCTGACAGTAGTTGTTGAGGTTTAGTTATGTGATGATGAACCTTCCCTGGTGCAACTATAAACCTGAAAGGAGTTATCAGAGGAAAAGGTCTTTACCTCATGGACAGTAGAGGAAGGAAATCTGCTGAACATGAGGTAATTCACACCTAACTCTTCTTTTAGGTCAGCCATAATGATTTGTAGAAAATATGTAGGTTTTTTCACAGTGAGATAGTTATTTGAGACTCCTTTTCTGAGGGATTCTTCATTGGGTTTGGGTGAGTGTCTCACAACCCAGCTTTTATGACGAAGGTTCCCAGTTCTGGGTTTAGTAAGAGGTCAACTTACCTGGACAGAATGGTAATATTCGTAGTTTAAGTCAAAATTAAAAAAATCACACTTATTGCAATATTATAAGAGGTGGGCCTTGTTACATTAGATTCCTTGATAAAGGACTCATTAAATTTGACCTTTACATTTTTTCTGTAATGTCATGTTCCTCCAAAGAATGATGGCAAATTTGATGATTTTTTTACAAAAATTATTCAGTTGCCAAAAAACATGTTTACATATAACAGAAGTTAAATCTTGTCTAGGAATTAACTGTAGTTACTGACACCAAAAATGTGCATTCATTAAAATTATCATACCTCAGAAACTTCTGGATAAAAATTCGTCAAATTTGGTACGAAGACTGTTCAGGACCTTCATCAATTGATAAACTAATAAAATAGTAAACGAACGGATAAATTAAATCATGAGGCTGGGGTTTCCCATTCCAGTGGCGATGGTGTGGCTGGAGTGAGTTATGACAACCCTGATTGCTTAGTTATATTTGTAGATTTATGAACATTAATACTGTACACATAACTGATCATTCTTGCATTGTCTATTAATTTATCCCTTCAAAGGTTAAGCCGGTAGAGTATACAATGGTAAGAGGAAATTGTTGTTTAGTGACAGGAGAGATTACAGGTCCCTTGTCTTATTCTCTTAGCCTTGCAATGGGACTTCATGTTTCATTCTTTCATTTATGTCTGCATTTTATCTTGAAAAGGAATTTGTTTTGTCCTTTTGGAAATATTTGGGATTTTTTTATAATCTTCCATTTTTAAGTAGAATATTATTAGAAAAGCAGGTTGTATTATATTCTTTGGAGGACTGTATGGTTCTTATATTTTGACTAATGTTATGTCATTTTTGTTATCCCACAGTGAAGCTTTTGAGGAGATGTTCAAGACTGTGACACAAGCCAACCCAGTAGTTGTTCTTCGGGATATTTCCATACAAGAACTCCGTGGTCTGATCAACTACATGTACAAGGGGGAGACGCTCGTAAAATCCAATGATCTTCCTGGACTCCTTAAAGCAGCAACTCAACTAAAGATTAAAGGTAAATTAAGTTTTGAAGAACTCCACAATGTTTGATGGGATCACAGTCTATGATCACAAGGTTCCACTGTTGGCTGATTATGTGTTGGAAAGCTGCCACCAGGTAATCACAACCAACCCACACGAGCGTGGAAGATGGCCGTATAAAGTTGATGGTGATGAGCCACTTCACTATGGGGATGCCACTTTTATATTTTATTTGGTGTTAGTTAAGAAAAAGAAACTTCAATTGATGTGAATGTTACCACTAAATTAAGAGAAATCACTTACCCTTGCCTAAATTACCTCCATATGCATGTTTCCACTCTAACTATTTTCTCAGTCATAGCAGACAGTCCTCAAGAGCTGCTGGTCTCTCTTCAACTGATTGCATATATTAGTACAGTCAGTCTTTGCTATACAAAAGGGATGTGTTCCCTGGGAGTTGTGCGTAAAGTGATAAAGGTTTTCTCTTAGACTTAATGTTATACTGTACCTGGAGTATGTGTTCCTGGGGGCTGATATACTGTACAGACATGAGACACAACCAAAGTGAACCAAACTAAATACAATACAGTACAGTGACACCTTCATTTAATGGACTTCTATTGAATAGAGGTTTCAATGAAGATTAATACAGTATATCACCAAATGTATAATTGGAACAATACAGTATAGGAAGTCTCTTGGTTGTGAACGGATTGTAATCCTTCATCTTGTTTGTAAATGGTATGTCGTTCATTTGGACTCGGAACTCAAAATTGTTTTACTTACAATATTATAAATGGTTGTTAGGTTCCCAAGCCTATTTAACCTGCACTTAAGCACAAATATTGTACATCTATGATAGTAATTCGGGTTCAGTGTGTAATATCCAGCTGTGAGGAAAACTGGAAAAAACAAGTAGTTTTTCCACTGTGTGTTGTGTTGCACGATGGGCCAAGCCAAACTTGTGTGAACTCTTAAGTGGCCAGACACAGGGGACCAACACCCATGCTCTGCGATGTCTCCAAAATTATTTCATTAAAGGGATTCTTGGTCTTCAGCTTTAGCCCTTGTTAAACACTTCCTGGATGAGAAGGTAGTGTAGTGAAGGAATGTTGTGTGGTGTTGGAGAGTTTGTAAGGTTAGTGTACTGTTGGGTGAAGGAAAGAGAAATTAAGGGATGAAAACATATTTATTACATTGCTGCTATTGACAGCTCACAGAATGAATCCAGTGTTCAAAACATTATAGAAATACAATATAATTTACAATCATAACATCCTATCACTTTAAAGTTAACAGTTCACATTATAGTTTTTTAACACAACTTGCTAATACATATATCAAGGTTATAGAAATTTTGTTTGTTTACATCATTTCATCAATATTATATACAGTGTCTAATAATATATTATATTATACAGTATCTAATACACTGGAACATTACTGTAGTTCATTTACAATAAGACATCAGCCAATGTAACTACTGCACCAAGTATTTACAATATGGGTTCTTGGCTGTGTGATTACAGTACTGCATGTCCAGTACTGTATTATGCTGCTGCCAGGTTCTGTATAGTGGCTTATACTGTAGTGATATCTGCCCATGTATACTTGGGAAATGTTGTTTCACTTCAATAACTTGGAAAAGGGTTTTGTAGGTAAAAAATAAATTAAATGTGGCTTTATATCATTGATTTCGAGGCTGACTTCAGTGATGAGTTTTGTGTGTGAATATTAGCCACAGTACAGTACTGTACAGTAGCTAAAACAACTATCTGTGCATACCTTGTGAGGAACAGTATGAGACCATGGACGATATGTTTTGTTGGTATATGAGGGCTGTCACTAGTCACACGTAAGATTTTGGAGCATATCGATCCCCACCTGCACAGATAGTTAATAGCTACTGTACATCAGGGAGTGTAACAGGGGGGCATCATTGTTGTCTCATTCTTCCTCTGGTTAATGAGACAGGGGAATCACAAAGGATTACAGTATATGAAATTTCATTTGGCATCTTATCACCACTAGGTCTTAGGCACCATTTATCGAAGCATTGAAGGAAGACGTAACAGAGGTCATATCCCAAATACTGTACGTGTTAATAAGAAGCTGTTGTCATATCTTAATGTAAATATTCAGTATTCATAAGTACAGTACACAGTTCTGGAGACTGGAGGCAGTGATGCAGTTATATAAAGATATTTCCCCATAAATTAAGAAGTTGATAAGTTAAAATCAAACTCTAGTTTTGTCATTGATTCTATGTGTGAAATTCACACTCCATTCTTATCATTGACACTTGTGTGGAGTTGAGACTCCAGGCTTGCCATTGATACTTTCTTAACTTAGATTATGTATGTAAAATGAAATGAGACAAATGATGATGAAAGGAAAAAACTTGTACCATGAAATGTAATGGAATCTTAACAGAATTAACATTATGTTGTAGCTGATAAGTGTTTGAGGCAGATGAGTTATATTAACAGTTGTGAGTATCATCAAGAGAGGCAGCTTTACTAGAGCTTCAAACAACTCTACCTCAGACTAATTTTACAACCAGTATACGTGTATAAATTTCACAACACAACATACAGTTTCCTTACAGTAGACATATGTATGGAATAGAGTGATTCACAAAAGCTAGTCTCAAGTTACCCGGTACTTGTTATACAACTTTATAATATTTTCTACTAAGATATATTGAGCAAAATTTTTTATTTGTCTTATTTAAGATGTTGTTAGTCTCTGTGAATATTGAATTTTTTCTTCAAGTTTTAATTGTTTTTCTGGTTCTACTGTAGATGCCAGAACAGACAGTAGTTATCAGATAAATTTTTGCCCAAACTGAGAGAACATGACAGAGGCACACAGATGGCTGTCATTTTTTTATATACAGGTTGACAACCTTTTATCCGAAATTCCAAAAACCGAAAAGCTCTGAAAACCGAAAGTTTTTTTTTGTGGAGCAATTTTTTTTTTTTTTTTTTTGGTATTAGCCCACCCGGGCACAGGTCACTGACCCACATCGGGGCCTGGGGGTGAAAATGTAATAGTAATAATAATTATAATAATAATGATAATACAGTAATAATAATAATTATTCGTAGTAAATAAAATTTTTAATAAAAAATACACAAAAATAAAATAAAAATAACAATAATAATAATAACAATAATACTGTAATAATAAAATAATAATAATAATAATAATAATAATAATAATAATAAATGAAATACAAGAATGAAAAAAAAGATCAAAAGTGCGAAACACGACCTAGACTTATGAATTATTATTGTTATTATTATTATTATTGATATTATTATAATTATTATTATTATTATTATATTTTGGCCCCCAGGCCCCAATGTGGGTCAGTGACCTGTGCCCGGGTGGGCTGATCCCAGTAAAAAAATAAAAAAATAAAAAAAAATAAAAAAAACTAACCATTCTGAAAACCGAAATGCATCTGGTCCCAAGGATTGCGGATAAGGGATTGTCAACCTGTAATTAGATTCTGAGTTGCATTAGACAGTAGTAGACCAAGACTTCTCCCGAGGAGATTCTTTTAAATTATTATACATATGATATGAGAAGGATTTGAACCAAGTATTAAATTTTAGACAGTATAGAAATGATTTAGTTGTTGCAGTGATGAACCTACGTACTGGATCAAAGCTGCGAGTGATCTCTGACACTACCTGTACATTACAGTCTCAATACATACCCGGTAACAATAAAACATTAACATATACATTATGGAGATCTGAGATACTCTGTGACTTAAATTATACAATAGTTATTACCACCATCACAATTTGCTTGTCAAAAATAAGTACTATCTATTAAAATATATTATAATTATTTAACATACCCCTGTATATACATGGTAGCAAGGCATCATTATATTGTGTTATGATCTATCCAGGGGTGGGTACCACAACTCTGCTTTAATAATTTACACTTTGCATTTAGTCTTTTTATATGGAGAACCTAATAGCTAAGAAAGCGGGTTACCTTCACTAAAGGTTGGGTTTGGTATTTGACTTTGAATATTATCTTTGAAGCAAGAGACCTTAATTGCCAGTACTGCACTGTACTGTACAGTGTGATGTATACTTAAGAAGAAATTGCAAAATATGTTAAAGTTGGGGACCCAAATTTTATAATACTGTTTTGGGATGTATATTTTTGCTTTGAGGACAACACTTTTAATACTGTACAGTACTGTATGTCTTCAAGGGATGGATCTAGATTTAAAATTTTTTGAATCATTCCAACTTAAAAATGTGTCACTTGTGAAAATCCCCAAATGCATCAATATCTGGCAGTACTGTACTATCACTGACACTGTACGTAAAATTAATATTACTGTACGGTGCTGCATTAATTCCAGCCACACCGAGTGACCCGGAGTATTACATGGTTGAAATATACTGAATAAATAGCCTGAAAATTTGATTGTGTATTAGTAAAGGGTGAAGCTAGAGTATGACATTTTCATTTTACATTACAGTACAATATAATGGGAGAGCAAAAAAGTGGATATGTCTATATTTAAATCATTCAAGATTAGCTGTTAAGCATGTGCGCCCTGACCAGTCCATTCTATATGAGGTAAAACATCGAGATAAAACAAATGCTGTCTTGTGTAGTATTTAAGGTTTCCACAGCCCCTTGACCAATGGAATGTCATCCACTCCATGGTGAACACAGTAACATACACACACATTTTGTTACATTATCTTTTCAACTTTTTATAACTTTATTACTTATCTCTTCAAATAATATTAATGAGGCAAAATAAAACTAACAAATGAGAGAGTTAGATAAACGTCACTATAGTTTTAGTAATATTTTTCATGGTATGATTTTTTATTTATAGAAAACCTTAATAAGAAAGGACCCTGAAGCATTATTTGTAAGAACTCCTGGTGCATTGCTAGACCAACACTCTACAGTGTTTTCTGAAATTAATAATAATTTTATTGCTTTAATATTATCATCAGTATTGAATGTTATCAAGAGCTACTTGTGGTGTGCAGCAAAAAATTTAGATTAGTACAAAGAAAGATGGAATATGATCATAATTCTGTAGTACTAGTTTATTGTGTAACAAACACCAGTGTATAACAGCTTACAGTATAACAAAGGTGTCAAGGCACAGTGATGCATTGACTTGGATCAGTTTGTTCAACAGTGTACAGTTTAATACTCATATTAGAGACCTTGTGATACTATCTTGGCATCTCGAGTAATACTGTGTTGTATCAGGTGACTTGCTACATGGTTGGGAAACTCAGGAAATATGAGCACTGCTTACCTTGTTGAAGCCTTTGTTTAGGCTTCATCGCTGTGCAGTTTGCTGACTTGGTAGTTTGTAGAGTCAAACAGGGTTGGTTGAGAAAGCATCAAATAACAAAAATGGATCCAACAATGCCATTATCCACCAAAAAGCTAATAACGTCAACCAGTGCTTGAAGGCCTTCGTCTGTGTGCAGTTGACGATCGAAGAACCAAGTGCCAGAGAAGACGAACTTGTGGATTATAGTCATGAAAGCGTGTAAGAAATTTTCACCCAAGTCTCGCATGACATCAAAATAGCCGATTTCCTCCACCCTAGATGTGACGTCTTGACGGAGGAGAACCTTGTTGAAAGCATTGCAGTAGTCGTCACAGAGCTCCATGTAACGGTCACGAAGAGTATCTGCTCCAAGAAGAGTGAGCCAGACCCAGGCAGCATCTCTCAGTGGTGGACTCTCCAACTCTGGTCCTCCTCTGAGTCTTATGGCCACTATGTCCTCCTCCTCATCCTGTGGTTTGATCCAAATGTCTCCAACACACACAGGACCCACACTGGGTATTTTACAAGTCTGCATTGCTGATGCAAACCGCAAAAACTGCGTTAGTGTTGGAAGGTCAGACTGCAGAGCTTCCAGGCGTCTAACAGTTCTCTCATTGCTACCAGAACTTTGTAAGGTGTCCACCATTATTGACAAATTTGACTCCACAATTTCTAATTGAGATATTTGTGCAGTCCATTTATCCTTGACACAGACTCTTTCCACAGGGTTGTCACTGCTTGTGTCAATTTTTTCCTTAGTGCTACTCTCCCCAGTACCTGTTGTGGTTGAGGCTGTTGACAGAATTTCACTCTCTGTATTTCTCATTTGAGTTGCTGAAGCTGACTGGGAGTTTTTATTCAATTTTTCTTGCTCTATGCATGTGTTGGCATGTAAGGTGGCAAGGGTACGGGTGACTGTGAGTGCATGTTCAGTAGTCAAGTTGACGTGAGGATAGGGTGTAAGGCCTCGGGAAGTGAGTCCAGTAGAATTGGCTTTGATGACAGTCACCACACCACCTCTGTACAGCAGTGCATGGGTGGGAGGTCCTCCTTCACCTACATCTGGGCCCTCAAAGCACTCTGCTCCACACAGCATATCCAGGCCAATCATGCCAACTAAATTGCCTGCAAAAATAAGTACAATGTATTTCTGTTTGGAAACTAAAATTCAGTTAAAGACAGTTCATGTTGATGGTATGATGGACATACAATAATTAAGAAAGTGTTCCAGATGTTAAGCTTTTTTACTTCCTTTGAGCAAGAATTACAAGTTGGTGTAGCTGAAGTATTTCAGTGTGCAGTACTCTTATTAAATGAGTAAATGTGGTATTGTGTGATGGACATATACTATATGGAATTCAATTATTGTAAAAGTCAAATAAGGCTTTCACCAGGTTTAAATTTAGTTGATTTTTTAGTTAGTATACTTTACTAATTACAACTTTAGATTTGACAAAAAGAAAACTAAAGAACGATTTAAATGCTGGGAATAAAGACACTGACTGTGATTTTGATTTCATGTTTGCAGGGCCTTACTAAACATTATTGTCAACCTCTATACAGTACACCTTTAACTTTTAGACTGTTCCCATGATGGTAAGTAATACATGTAGTACAGTACACTGGTAGTGTGGTAGTGAGGGAAACATGACTAAGAGATGGAGCTTTATTCCTGATGTTTCATCAAGACTTATTCAAAGGAATGATTACTGTACACAATGTGGGTTACTGTTTCATCATCAAAATACCAGAATTTTAATAATAATTTCGATTTCTCTTGCCACAATTTGTTTATATATGCTTGAAATGTTGGATAGGCATACAGTACTGTTAGCCAACCCTGTGGACACATATAATTTACATGTTTGTAATGCGCTATCGATTCTATGGTTCATCCCATTACAATAAATAGTGTTTATCATATTGGTTTGGTACATGGAGGTAAAGTATCAGTCATGCTGCATTGATATAAGGAGATAAAGTGAGAGGGATGGTTCATAGGGGAAGAGAGTGAATGAGAGGGATGGTGTAAAGATTGAAAAGAGATTGGGTGAGAGGGAAAAGTTTGTAGATGAAAAGAATGAAGAGCTAGTGGATGAGAGGACAGGAAGAGTTTGTTTGGAAGTGCAGATAGTGAAGAGAGTGGATGATATTGAAGAGAAATGGATGAAGAGAGAGTGTGGATGAGATGAATGGGTCCATATTTAGTGTAGAGGAGGCTAAGGAAAATGGATAATAGAAACAGGACAATACAAGATGGAAGATAAAGGTGAGAGAATAAGAGAGATTGGGTAAAGGAGGAGAAGGAGACAAGTGATGGTTGCGGCTGCGGTTTAATGGATGATAGTTCACCACAATAGCAAGATATGTCGTAAGGGATGATGGTTGTGAAATGTAAGGCAGTCTGGGTACTGTTGCTAGGCTCCTGGGCAAGTTTGGTATTGTTGCTAGGCTCATGAGCCAGTTTGGTATTGTTGCTAGGCTCATGGGCCAGTTTGGTATTGTTGCTAGGCTCCTGAGACAGTCTGGGGACTGTTATTATGCTTGAAAGACAGTCTGGCAGTACAGTAATAATAGACTGCTGTTACAGTCTGATAATGATGTTAGACTGCTGTTATAACCTTGTAGTTTTGCTGGACTGTTGATTGTCACTGTGTGTGTGTCGCCTCCCTGATCAGGACAACCCTAGGCGCCAAGTTGGTTTATGTGGGAGCCTCCACATTGTCTGGCGCAGGGATGGTGGGAATTGAGGATTAATGATAGAGGGTGCTGCTGCTGACCCCCCTTTCACACACACAAACCTTTGTTTCACCTTTCCCTTCTGACACACACACACCCCTGCCCCCCTTCCTCTACCCTCTGACACCACACACCCACCCACGCCTGCCCCCGTCTTCTACCTCCTGACATATCCCCCGGCCCCCTTCCTCTACCCCTGGCACACACACCCTTGCTATCTACAGTAGATGAAGCCTCTTGTCTCAGCTTGACTGTCCACCACTCCCTGCGCTACATAGTTCTTGGTGATTTACGTAAGTTGATTTGATGTTCGGTATTTAATATGAGATGATTAATTAATACCCGGGGACAAGAATTGAGGCGAGATGATTTTGTATTTTGGTACAACTTGTTTCTTGTATTTACGAAGAGTATGGTGGTCAGAAGATTGGATTTATGACATTGTAATTATTGTATCAGAAATAGTATGTGCAAATGAGACATGGACCATTAGTTAAGGAGAGGAAGAGAAGATCTGGAAGGTTTTAAAGAGAAGATCTGGAAGGTTTTAAAGAGAAGATATGGAAGGTTTTAAAGAGAAGATATGGAAGGTTTTAAAGAGAAGATCTGGAAGGTTTTAAAGAGAAGATCTGGAATGTTTAAAAAGAGATCTGGAATGTTTTAAAGAGAAGATCTGGAAGGTTTTAAAGAGAAGATCTGGAAGGTTTTAAAGAGAAGATCTGGAAGGTTTTAAAGAGAAGATCTGCAATGTTTAAAAAGAGAAGATCTGGAATGTTTAAAAAGAGAAGATCTGGAAGGTTTTAAAGAGAAGATCTGGAAGGTTTTAAAGAGAAGATCTGGAAGGTTTTAAAGAGAAGATCTGGAAGGTTTTAAAGAGAAGATCTGCAATGTTTAAAAAGAGAAGATCTGGAAGGTTTTAAAGAGAAGATCTGGAATGTTTTAAAGAGAAGATTTGGAAGGTTTTAAAGTGCTATTGAGAAGAATATTGGGACCAGTGGAGGAGGAGACAATATGGTAGTTTGCAATTTACAATATCTGGTTCCGTGTGTGTGTGTGTGTGTGTGGACGGACTGTACAGTAAGACTCACACAAGAACCCCATTTCCAGCTTCAAAGATTAAGGTCACAATGTAAAGTTCAAGACTCACATGGAGGTGGGGGGAGGGGAGGGGAGGGGGACTTTACCTATCTGTTCCTGGTGTGTTGTAATGATCAAGATATATTATATAATAACACCTGTATGTTGAATGTTTGTACGTCATCACCAGGTGAGTAAGATGCAGTAAAGGTTAGTCACAAAGATGAAAGGTAAAATGATGTGGTTTTTATTATTTATTTATTATTTTTATTATTATTATTATTATTTTCTTCATTAACTTGGCTGGAGGATTGTGTTGTTTGTCCGTCTGTCTGTCTATCTGTGTCTCTTTTGGTGGAATGGTATAGAGACAGGTGGAACGATACTAGAAACGGATGGACCAATGAAGGTGATGGACCACACACACACTAATATGGCGTAGATATCGATGTGGGGTTGTGATAGATGGTGGGAGTTGTGGGAACGGTTGCCGGGAACGAACAGGTTGTAGTTGGCAGCTGGGCGCGGCCAAGGTCACGTGGGCGACCCAAACAAACACACACACACACACTACCACCATATCCTCACTACCAAGCAAACAATCCATACATGCTGTAGTCATCCCTCACTTGTTTACATACAGTTGCATCCTGACCAAATATTTTATAGAATTAGAAGAGAAAATGAGACTCCTGGGCCATAATATACTCGTTTATTAGGACTATACGGAGGAATAACTCGGGGGGGGGGGGTAAATACTTAAGGGTATATGAGGATGACATCTTGAGTGTCACACACACACACACACTTTATATCGATACTGTTTTGATTTGTAAGTGTTCGGTACTGGCTGTATCATGTTTTTATCGGTGACTGTAACTGGGGGTGTATCCTGTTAAATACCAGGAAGTGTCTGGGATGATGATAATTGTTTGGTGTTGTCGGGAGAGAGAGAGGCAGTGTTGCCATGTCTTGTAAGGCGGTAAACACTTGGCCACCTCTTATAATATCCGAGCAGGATAGGACTCGGAGCAACGGATTCAAGTTGGATAAGTTTAGGTTTAGGAGGGAGATAGGAAGAAACTGGTTCACAAATAGGGTGGTGGACGAGTGGAACAAGCTTAGCAACTTTGTAGTAAGTGCGGGAACTCTGGAAAGTTTCAAAAGGAGGCTAGATAGATTCATGGATGATAGAGAGTGGTAGTAACTCTCGACAGGAGCTGCCATGCACAGGCCAACCGGCCTATTGCAGACTCCTTATTTTCTTATGTTATAATTTGTTAACCCACTTGATCATTTAACTTTATTGATATGTATAGTTAGTTAAATCTTTCCCTAGTAAAAATATAAGCTAATCCATTAACAAAAGCCTATATAAACTGCCTCATTAAACTAAATTACGACGGGCCCCTCAAACTCACCTGCTGACAAGGATGGACAAGCACGGGGCAGACACAGAAATAATTCCTATGGTGATAGGATTCTAAGCGATACTATACAGTCTTTGATCCTTGTGTCTCAGGTTAAACAAAATCCTACGTGTAAAAGGAAGACAATATGTTTTCTATGATTCTTGGGGGAACTGGTGACGGTGAAGTGACACTCACAACGGGAGTCCTCTCACACGCCCCCTACACCAGGAGGACAGGCCCGAGGATTAACATGATTTAAATAAGAAACATTAAACTTCTGTGTTTTATTATCTATTATGATCGGTTCCTCACGACACAGCTATAGGCAGCATCCCTGTGTTAAGTTTATTAATGTGTCCCACGGGTGTATCCAGGGACACATGCTTTCGGGTTGTCTCTCTGCCCGTACGTTGCAGTCCAGGTGCAACATGCAGATTCATCCTGAAGGTCTTGTGTACAGGGGGGGGGGGTTGCTGACGTTGAAACATATTTTAATTTTGCTGCTAACCTGTTGACCCTTGTACTGTATGTCACTTTACTGAACAAAACCCGAAGTTATTATGTTCATTTTCTGTGAGAACGTTACTTTAACATGAAATTATTGTGTTGCTGAACTAGGCGACGGGGGAAGAAGGTAGCGTGATACATAGACCGCCTCGGGATACTTACCTTCCAGGTACTGCTGGAACAGGTCCATAAGATCGTCTCTTGACCACGCCATTGTAAGGCAGGTGGCGGGGCAGTGGGAGGAAGGAGAGGAGTGTCTGGTTGTAGAGACAGGTGGTGAGTCAAGCCTGGGCAGGTTTATTAAGAGGACCGCGGCTTTCACGAGAGAGGGGGAGCTGTCGTCACCAGCCACCACCACTGACCACCCGTCGCCTATAGGCTTATCTTAGACTTCACCTAAGACGTAATAGTTTACTCTTAGTCCTTGTGGTTCCTCTGTTTCAATAAGTCTTAAGAATATTTCCCCGTAAGTTTTGTGTGGGGTCTTGATAACTATCTATACATGAAATGTTTAACTTGTACCTGCTAAAGGAGATTTCGTCATGTTAAAGAACACAAAATGTCTCGCGGTAATTAAAGACTTGATGCTGTACACTGTGGTGCTTCTGGCGAGTTATAACCGCTAATTACTCGCTGTTAAATGTGTGTGGTGGTGGTAATTGTTTGGTAGGACCGGGCAGGGCAGTTAGGTGACATGTTAGTTAGTTAAATATATTTTGGTGGCGTGAGGTGTGCTGGGTCCAGGATATTACTCGAGGTGTTCACTGGTTGTCATTGTCAGTCCATGTTCACCTATGCTAATTGGGGAAAGTTCCTCCCTATGTGTCGAGGCTGGTTTAGATCTGTCAAAACATTGGATAGAAGCACCGAACTCTTTGACAGCCTGGCCAGTATAAACAAACACGGCGCGCCACCTGCTCGGCGTCCATTTGTTATTGCTTTGTGAGTGCTGGGTGCCCAGGTTCACTTTACATATCACCCGCTAACAAACAGTCCATGATGTGTCCACCATCACTTCCACTGTGAGGCCCGGGGAGAACCAGTCACTGCTTAATGAACTGTGAGGTGGAGGACACGTCCTGTTAGCCTATATACTGTACTAGCTGGCTCAATTAGCTTCCCTGAATCGTTGTGGGTCATTCCTTCACTTCCCTGCCTTTATATGTCATGCACGTAGGGTGGTGATGGCCATCCCGTGTTTTGTAGGTTTAATGTCTTGTTTAATGTAGCGGGATTTGTGTAGCTGTAGTCCAAGCCCTTTGATTACACAGGAGAAAGAGCAGCATCTTGTAGTGCATTGGGTTTTACCGTCTGAAAATATCTAGTGTGTGTGTGTGTGTGAAGGTGCTAAACATGTCCGTCAGATTGGAAACAAGTTGTCAAGCATTAACAAGTAAGATTAATAACATATAATAACTTATACTGTTATTAACTTGCATTACACTAATAATTGATGTTCAGGTCGTGTGGTTTTATCTCTCTTTAGTTATGCAAAACAAAAAACAAACAACAAAATAAATTAATTAATTGTACTTTTTTTCCGTCCAGATACAGTGACATTTCCTGTGTAAATTCACCATCACCACCACCACCGAGTACACGACTAACACATTTCTTTTGCTTTCTTCATCAACACCACTATATACACACACAGTTTCGTTATTGTTGTATTTATGACATTTTTTTGGTCGGGAGAATACGGAGTTTTTTCCTCTGATAATATGAAAAAAAAACACGACACTTTTTTTTCCTTCACTACTAAAAATGTTTTTTTCTTCCCCGTTCGAAAATAAACACAATATTATCACTATTAAAGATGGATAACAAAATGTAATACGCGGCGTAGGCAGGTGTGCGTCGAGTGTGGCGTAGGGAGGTTTGAGTCGAATGTGGCGTAGGGAGGTGTGCGTCGAGTGTGGCGTAGGTGTACGTCGAGTGTGGCGTAGGAGGTGTGCGTCGAACGAGGTATACAAGGCCACTAGACCGCCAGACTGGTTGTTGAGCCGCGTTCACTCTTCCCCGAGTGCCTGCGAGGGAGGAGGGAGTGTAGGGAAGGGGGGTAGGGAGGCGACTGGGTGTAGGGAAGGGAGGGAGGCGACTAAGTGTAGGGAAGGGGGAGGGAGGGAGGCGACTGAGTGTAGGGGAAGGGGGAGGGAGGCAACTGAGTGTAGGGAAGGGGGAGGGAGGCGACTGAGTGTAGGGAAGGGGGAGGGAGGCGACTGAGTGTAGGGAAGGGGGGGAGGGAGGAGACTTGAGGGTACTGCGGAAGGTATAGGAGAGGAGAGAGGGAAGGTGACTAAGGGTATAAGGGAGGAAAGGGAGGAATAGGTATTGTGAAGAGGAGAAAGGAGGGGGGGCGGCACTGGAGGCTGTAAAAACCCGGGTATCCAGTTCTTGGTACGCATCTCTTGAAGGTGTGCCCAGGAACACGTACACACGTTGAGGCTGGAGGCGTGCTGATGGTTGCATACCGATCAAAACACCGCAGGACGATCCAGGGAATGTCACCTTCAACACGACCCAAGGATCCATCAACACAGGGCTGGCTGAGCTCTTGATTCCTGATCCGTGACACACACACACACACACACACAAGGTTGTCTAGCCATTTCAATCATTCGTACTCTAGCGATCTCACATGACTTTCAGTAAGTTCAAGTGTGTGCGAACTAAATTTAACATCATTATTCATCAACACCAACCACATAATGTTGTAGAAGAGCACAGTGAATTATATTATTGTGGATGCAGCTCAGAATCGTTTATATTTAGTGTCTCTGTCGATAGTGAAAATATCGCGTTGTGATGTGCTATTTGGCAACTGTTCTGTGGGTGATGGGTAAAAATATATAATGTCAGTGTTTGTTAAGTTCTGGTAAATGGTGGGCGTTTGTACCGGGGATTCCCAGCTGTGAAATTACTGAAGGAAGTGTGTGTGTGTGTGTGTGTGTGTGTGTGTGTGTGTGTGTGTGTGTGTGTGTGTCAGCTGTCGTTGAAACACCCAGTAATAGAACACAGTACTGTCACTGCCAACACACACACACACACACACACACAAATATCTGAAGAATTTATACCAGACTAAAACAAAAATAAACAGAGGACCAAGCGATATTATTGGAACAAGTGAAGAAAACAGGAAGGCTGGAGGAGTTTTTCAGAGTTAAATTAAGACCTGAAGCAGACACCCCCCCCACTCCCTCAATCCTTCCTTTTGAGAGACGCATATTACGCAGACTTACTCGAGATATACGAGGCGTATCTTATTTACTACAATTAGGAAACGTTACTCTATCGATGAAACGTGGATACTATTATGATCAAAAAGACTAATTTGTCGTATCTCTCTCTCTCTCTGCCTCTCTCTGCATCATGGTAGGGCGTATTGTATGCATGTAAGTAGGAAGTATCGGGAGGATGGTGGTGTGTGTACAGGATGCCTACACGGATGTCTCCTTCACCTAGACAATGACAGGAAAGTGTGCGATTTCCAGCTTGTTTCACCCTAACACTACCTGGTGGAATTAGGGGGGGGATTAGGGTGGTTAATCGTTATATGAGGGGATTAGGGTGATTAATCTGAAGGTGAAATTGACTAGGGTGGAGATTCTGCAGGTGATCTAATTGAAGTACCACTGTATACTTTGTTTGTTGACCTTGCTCTACGTATGTCACTGTTTTTTTTTTTATGATGTCAGCGATGATTAGTTTGTTAGTATTATTTTATTTTTCAATGCTTTTATTATAGACGGTTGAGAACATGTGGGTTCATGTTGTAAATGGTGAAGTGTTTGCGTCAGAGGCAGTGTAACGCTGTCCGTGTACTGGCGTAGTCACCCCTGAAGCCTTGACATTGTGCCGTTTTTTCTTATTCATTAGTAACACCCGTTTTCTTCCAACCACTAACGGGACGTAGAATTCTCGAGTTAGATAGATAATCAGTAAAACACATCATACAAGTTCAACCACCATACACCCTCACAATGCATGTACTGTACAGTATATAGACAACGGTTAACATAAGTGTATTAAACAAGGGGCAACTCAAGGAAACCCGGTAAAAGCTTATTATCATTGAAGCTCTTAAATAATACGACTGTATACAAGTGAAAGATAAATTGTATACCCAAGACCCGGCGCTTACAGGTGGATATTTGTCTTGGGGAAATTCTCAAAGATATGAATTTTAATGGAATCTTTACAGTGCAGTAATAATAATAAACAACTTGGAACATCACAGATTAAGTAGTGTGAAGATTATAGTTTAAATGGCCTACCTGAAGCCACAAAGCATAGGAAAGTCACGATAGGTTGGGTTCTGTGGTGACTCGTCAATGAATTTCACACCAATTTTCTTGCCTGTCCTGCGCTGTTTTTATACTTTATGTATTGAAGGAGTTTAATAATTTGCCTCACCAACCATATTTATAACGGTAGACGTAATTGATGAAGCTACAGCAAGAGAAGGGTGATTTTTAGTACTGTTTTTGTATATTTATTGAGATGTGATAAGTCCTTCCAAACGTACGAACAGACCCAACGTAAATAAGCTTTGAGTGGCTTTCTTGGGCTATCATTGATATCATTGTTTAAATTGACTTACTGTTTGCCATTGTATTATTTGCACTGTCTATGTACTTGTTGAACCAGTGAGAAGTTCTATGAATATTTACAGTATATATATTTTATCCATCACCCTATCAAGTGGCCAATGTATTTAGACTATTTACAAGTAACAATGAAGATATCAAAATTGGAACTGTGTTATGTGTGTTTATCAGAGAAAATGTTAACGCCGGTCTGTGGAAGGAAGGGGGAACTATTCCAATTTTATTTAGTCGACACTGGCTGAGGCGTACACTGATAGTTGTATGTTTATTGGATAAATTGGGGGTATTAATCTTCAGGTGGTCCCAGAATAACGTGGAAAATGTGGCCACTTTACGGGGTAGTATAAGGTACGGTGTATACTCTCGTTCTTGTGAGACGTGGCAAGGATTAAGTCATTCGAAGTCGCCGTCACAAGGCCACGAGTTGATCTTGTCACTCATGGGAGGATCTGGGGATAAGAGCGAGTTATCTGATTGTTGCAAAAGTATTAGTGGCATTGTGTGGTGACGAGGAGGCTGGTGACTGGCGGTGCGGGGCAAGGGACGGCGGGGCGGGGCAGGGGAGGGGGACGGGGACAGCCTCGGGGTGTGGTATTCCATTACCTACATCACAATAGACGGGTCTTGATGAAAGTGGTTCTCTCTCTCTCCTCTTTTATCTCTCTCTCTCTCTCTCTCTCTCTCTGACTGTACACATGATAATAATGTGTATGTGTACGTACCCTTGTTCCCTCATATGTGTGTCAGTAGGTTTATATGTATGTGTGTGAGTGTGAGGAGGACGATGAAGCCAGAAAAGGGTTGTGTCACCTGTGGGTCTTGACATTAGTATGAGCCCTCCACCACTACCCTTCTCTGCCCTTCCACGTGTTCTTTCCCTCTTTCCCCCTCCCTCCCTCCCTCCCTCCCTCACCATGATGTAAGGTAACACAGTTAACAATCACACACAGGAAGGAGAGCTCACTGCGTACAATCACCAAAGGTCATCATCATCTTATCCTCGCGTGTGTGATCGAGGTTTATAATGGGCCATTATAATTTGTATATTGTACTGTGATCTCTCTCTCTCCCTCCCCACCTACGCACATACACAATCTCTTCACCCCCACGTTCACCTCAGGAAAGAATTTGTCTCTCCCTACACACCAAAGTGAACTGTATCATACATACCCCTAGAGATAATTTATTCCCCCAACTTACAATTCAGTGAGGGTGTAACATTTCCCCTGTGTTACCACCGACAAGAGCATGTCACAGGTCGCTATTGTTACCTGCACGACGTAGTTACTGAAACCAATCGTAAAGAATCACTAACATTCACTTACTTGACGCTGCTTATCGTGTTCACGTTCTAACACCCTTCAGGAACGTCACTTGATGAAAGAAAAAAATAAATGGATAAATCAGTGTGTTGTTCTGGATCAGTCTTCATTGTGTACTTACCTTGAAAATCAGGTGAGTTATCCCCGCCCTGAGGTACTCTGTATACTGTACGCCAAAAAACTTTCCTTCCTCCTCCGCGTAAACTGGTGTTAACGATCAGTCTTGGGTGGATGACGTATCTGAAATGAGTAAAAAAAAAACTGCTTTAAGTCCTGTTGGAATATTGTAGTTGTATTGTTTGGGTCTTTGGTTGACCTAATGACTGACTGACTTTCATGGTTGATTGGTGCACTAAAAGAACAACAGTGTCTCAGTGAATGGTGTTAGACAAGGGCCAAAACGTGAACAAACTTTGGACGATAAGCTGTCCAACTCAGCCCCCCTTCCCACAGTACACGTGTATGTCATGGGGTTACTCCTTCACTACTGTGCCCTAACGATGAGGGACGTATCCTCTGTTGCAATAGTAGATGAGCACAAACTGACAGGGCAACTTGATCCATAATGATGAAGGCTTCATTATGATTACACGTCCGTTTCTATCTACGGTCACGTACACGATGAATGAATGTCCGTATTGAGGAGGGTGTGTGACGTGTGTGTATAGTATAAAGGAATTAATATCGAGTCAATAACGATCGTAAGGACAAATGGAGTCGATACAGGACCTCTCCCTAGTACTGTTGCCACCCACTGTGCACCCCAGCAGTATAGACTAAAGCATGGAGTGGCTGTGGGGGTAAACTGCACCATTCTCATCACGAAAGGGCGGCCATACAACCTAACCTATATTCCTTGGATCTTATCACCTTCCACCGTCCCCTCTCCCTCCTTCTACCCCCCCAGTGGCGCTATATTTACTTGACCTTGGCAGAGTAACGAGAAGCCAAGATGCTACCATGGCTGAGTACCGGACGCTGCCTTATACCCCCGTGTCGCTGGTGTAGTGATTATCGATACTGTACTGTATGTCCTTTATACCCATAGAGAGAGAGAGAGAGAGGGGGGAGGAGGGAGAGATAGGTGGAGTTAGAAGGAAGTGAAGGA